ACGTCTGAGACACATCATTCACTTTTTACCCCTAGGAGCAGATGACGTGTCTAAGACGTCAAACCAAATATTAAACTCTTGGGTACATTTGACGTCTGAGAGACGTCATTCACTTGTTTTCCCTAGGAGTGGATGATTCACACACTTAGCACGAAACATTCAAGTGCTGATTTGATAAACACAGGCAAAAGGAGAAAAAATGAAGGTGGCGATAGCAAAAATATTATAAAACTGTCATCTGTGCTTGAGTGTAATAAAGGTATGGGAGGCGTTGATAAACAAGACCAATTGCTAGCATGCTTCTCAGTTATGAGAAAATTTGTAAAGGGTTATAAGAAGATGTTTTTTTATCTAATAGATATGGCCTTTTATAATGCTCATGTTTTATATTCTAAAATCAACTGCACAACGAAGGCAGGCATTACTTCCTTTCATTTAGCTATTGCCGAAGAATTGCTGGAGCAATTGTCATTGCCAAATTATAAACGCCGTGGACGCCCGTCAAGTAGCGATACACCATTTCGTTTGGCAGCGAAAAATTGGGCACACTTTCCTGAGAACATTCCGTCAACTAAGTCCAAGCAACACCCTGGAAAAAGGTGCCGTGTTTATAATAAGCATAATATTAGGAAAGAGACTACATGGCAAAGCAAACAATGCAAAGTAGCATTGTGTTTACTTACTTGCTTTGAAAAATATCACACTCTGCATAATTATTAGTAATTGGTTTTTTGTTATAGCTTGAATTTATTTCATTTAGTTTTATTTTGTTGTCATTAACTTATTTTTGTTTTGCAATTATAATTACTTGAAGATATCTTAATACTACATATGTCACCAGTATTTTAGAAATAAATAAATTCTTACGTAAAATGTACTGCTTTTATATTCTACTCCAAGCAACCAAAAATTATATCCATTCCACATGCAAAGATTTTCTCAAATAAATCCGTACCCAAGGGGTTAAACAATAGCTTCATTTGGCAACAATCAATGCACTAAATATTGATTTAAAAGTCATTTAAAGTCATAAAAGTAAAAGTGAAAAAAAGATTTAAAAGTAATCCTTTAAAATCTAGTGGTAATCTAACAGAAGCGTATAACTTACCATAACATGGCACTTCTTCCCACTTTTTCAGTCTGGAAACACAATGTAGATTTTCAATCTTCTCGCCTTCTGTGCTGCTGTCATCACTGATGCTTTCCAAGCTGCTGGTATTCTGTTCTTCCTTATCATTCCACACTGCACAATCCTCCCTTCCACCCACGATATTTGGTATTCCGCACTTTTTGAAGCTCTTAACAACAACTTATTGTGAAATTCCATTCCAGGCAGTTTTTATCAATCCACAGATTCGAGTTATTTCGGGCTTCTTGATGTGACCAGTCTGTGTCAATGTATTCCAGTGGCCATCCATTCCATGTACATTCTTTTCTGTGCTGCTTTAAATGGGCGATTAATGCATACATCTAGTAGCTTTACATCTAGTAGCTATAGCACGAATGTCATCCCACCTGGAATAACCACAATATCAGTCTTTTTCCCTGGCACATTTTTTGCACTGCATCAGTTCTATGTGCACAAAAACTGTCCAGCACTAACATACTTGGTAGCTTCAGTAGAGCACTCAGGCGGCAATCCCATATGTGCTTCATGCATTCCTCAAAATGATAAGCATCCTTCCACCCAGACTCATGTGTCCTTATGATGCTCCCACGTGGCAAATCCATCAAAACTAGTCCTGTGAAAATTTTGAAAATATAACGCTGATTTTTGTTGCTTGACTTCTGAATTAATAGCTTCAAAGATTTCATTTTGGCATGAGCAAAAACAGCAGTAATGTACAAATGTAAAGTTAAAATGTAACCCATAATTGAAAAAAGCAATATTCGCCCATGGTCATTTAAACGAGTAAAGATTTTTCTATGTCATCTGTCATTCAAGTAAAAGAACAATAATGAGTGATTGGTTTGAAAATCATTTCGTACCCAAGGTTAGCCATATCTGAAATAGGTTGGCTTACTGGACAATGCAAAAATTATCCTCATAATAAACTACTATTAGGTTCATACTTCATTTAAAGTCTTAGCAAAGGTAACATCCTCTTATTATTTCCTCCAATTATACATCAATCATTTAGTCAATGGGTATTGGAGCACTGCATATACTGAAATTCAGATGTAAAGTAGCCTATAATATTTTGAAACCTGTGGTAAATTTCCTGAATAGTGGAAAGACCATTAATGAATAGTAACCATTTCTGAATAGTGGTAAGAATTTTTTTAATTATATGTCTATATATAAATCTAATATATATCCCAAGTCACACTTTCTAGACATGAAAAACGAAATTTGAATTTTGTCAGTCGGCCCAGTAGAACAGGAGATACAGAACTGCTGAACTGTCCCCCCCCCTTTTTTTTGCACAGTGTACCTGATACTGTATATACCGAATGATTAAAAAAAATCTCGTGATCATGCCACAAAGATGGTCATGCCACAAAAGGAGTTAAGAAATGAAGTACATCAAAATCATATTTTCAGAAGTCTCTGGCTTTTAAGTCTTTGTGAAAGATTATCTCAAGAGGTTTTTGAAAATCATTTTTTTCCAGCTTGTATATGTGTAATTCAAGACACTGGTTTATCACCTCAGATATTTTTTCCTCAAAAAATTTTATTATGATGCCAGGTCTTCGCAACCGAGATAGCATGCACTTTGGTAATCTTTTCTGTGGGCTGTTTATTATTGACCTCTCTATTAATTAATTTATCATATTCTTGAATTATTTTTGTATGTAAATAAAATTATATACAGGGGTTGGACAAAAATATGAAAACACCTTTAAAAAAACATGTTTCTTTGCTTAATATGGTGTAGGAAACCCATTGGCATCCAAAACAGCTTGCAGTCTTCTCGGAATGGATAAATACAGTTCCTGTATGTTTGCCAAGGGAATATTATACCATTCTTCCTGCGAAATGGTGGCAAGTTCAGATAATGATGTTGGCGGTGGATAACGAGAACACACTTTCCGTTCCAATGTAGACCACAAAGGTTCGATAATATTCAGGTCTGGTGACTGTGGTGGCCAGGGGAGATGGGACAACTCATCCTCGTGCTCAGAAAACCAGTCCTGGACAATGTGAGCTGTGTGAACAGGGGCTTTGTCGTCTTGGAAGACACCATCACCATCAGGGAACAAAGTTTGTACCATGGGATGAACTTGATCGGCCAAAATGTTCACATAAGTCTTGGCAGTCATGTGCCCTGACACAGTTATCATGGGGCTAGCAGAGAACTACGATATGGCTGCCCAAACCATAACAGAACCCCCGCCATGTTTCACTCTTGGCAACAAGCAGTCTGTATTATAGGCTTGAGATGGCGTTCTCCAGACGTAAACTCGGCCAGAAGTGGGAAACAATGGGAAGGAAGACTCTTCAGACCATATTACTCGCTTCCACTGCTCTATAGTCCAGGCTTTATGACTTAAACACCACCTTTTCCTGTTACGGGCATTAGCATCACTGATGAGTGGCTTCTCAATTGCAGCACGGCCAGCAATTTCCTGTTTATGAAGCTCCCTTCTAATTGTTTTGGTACTCACAGGGTTCGGTAACACAACATTCATTTCAGCAGTAACTTTTGCAGCTGTGGTCTTCTTATTTTTCGTCACAATTGCCCTTAATGATCCTCTGTCACGATAACTCAGGACACACTTTCGTCCACGTTGTGATTTAGCAGATGATGTTTTTCCGCTTTTCAAATATGCGGAATAAATCTTCGATACAGTACCTCTTGAAACACTAAACACGTCGGCTACCTTGCTTACGGAAGCACCTACCATACGTGCTCCAACAATTTGCCCACGTTCGAAGTCTGACATAATGCAATGACAACCTCACATAACAGTACTCCAACAACAAGTGAACTGTTTAGCACATTTACGAAGTTGTATAGGTGGCGTCAGTAGTCAAAAACGCCAGTGCCACCTATATATTTCATTAAAATCAATCTTTCTTTTCAAACATGCATTTCACAAGGTGTTTCCATATTTTTGTCCATCCACTGTATATTTAATATTAAAAAAGTGTATAAAGCAAAATTTCAACTTTTATTTGCAATAGTTCCTTAACTTACCTTTTTAATGTGATAATTTCTCCTTTCAACCCTATAAATAGTAATTGCATATAATAAATCTCTTTAAACTATATCATTTCAAAATTAATTGCTTTCATGTGATTCTTACCATAAGGCTAATGATGTTATTTAGCTCTTTATGTAAGGCTTCATCCAATAATAATTTCAAATTTGGGAACCGAAACTTAATATTAGGCAATGGAGACAAATCAGAAATGAAAATAAATCTCTTTGAACAGGAATTTCATCTTGGACATATTGTATTCCTTCTCTCACTTCACCATTACTAATATGCTAATGTCTGGTCTTCGATTTTATTTAAAAAACATAAAAGGGTACTGAAGTAGTTCTTTAAGAGTAAGTCTGCTTACTGCATCAACGCACCTGTGTTGACTTAAAAATGTTTGTCAACAGTAATAAATATAAATCCAGCCATGATGGCAAGTATCTCATTCTTATATATAGTCAGCACTAAACTACAAATTTTCAAAATTATTGGTTAGTGAAAAACATGTATAAAAGCTCAACACATGCTTGATTTGGGGAAAAATTAACTCTTGATATCCATACAAGTCTCTGATATGCTTAGCAAAGAATTCACAACTCTGTTTTTAAATATAGAACGTAATACAAAATGTCAAAAATATTTTAGGAAATGCATGGAAGGGGAAAAAGCAGAGAAATTACAGTTTTAATGTAGTATTGATAATGTATACATACACGTATATGTATGTACAGATGCACATGTGCATTGAATGCCTTTTATCATCTATTTAGAAGTGAAATGTATTTATAAATTTCAACAAGAATTTTTTAAATATTTCAGTTCTCTGTAAATAAGATTTTCTTCTGTTACAGAATAAACTGAGGCAAGAACATAGTGAACTTGTTCGTAAGTACCAGGAAGCTGTGGAAAATTTGCAGTTACTTACAGATCAAAAAGTGGCATTTGAATTAAAAAATATTGAACTTGAAGAAATGAGAGAGAGTGAGTATTTGTACTAAATTATAAGCTCTTAAGCCCTTGGTATAACCTATGTAATTATTAGTTCAAAGTTGCTTTTTCAGTTTTTCTCAAACCATTAAAATTTGCATCATTCCTTAATATTTAAAATTCATCACATACTCAATGCCAGAGCCAAAAGTGAAATTTCAATGAATGCAATGAAAGAAGTAAATAAACAGCCTGTTTCTGAACCAACAGAGACACAAATTAAAGTTTAAAATTTTAAAATAATCTTAGGAAAACAATAAAAGTAATCTGTACTTTTATTAGGCTGACCTCCTAGAGACCAAATTAAGCAGTAAAAAAAAATGTAAAATTATATAAAAAATAAAGAGAAATTCAAGAAGATTGTGAAGTTAAAAACAAAACATTATGCAAATTTTTTGAATCCAGTGTTTTAAAAAACAAAACTGTATCCAAATTTTAAAAACATGAAACTATATTGCATATTTATAATAAGTGACTATAAATCATAAACAAGCTTTATTGCTTGTTTTCAATTTATGCAATATAACATAAATCATAAACAAGCAATAAAACTTCAAAATTACCAGTTTGAGTGGACTGAGTCCAAATACATGTAAAACAGAAGTACTTCGGCGATTCCAGATTATAGATCACAAGTTTAAATCTGATAAGATGGCATGCAGAAATTATAAAATTAAAAATATGAAATCGTAATTTATGAAATAAAGAACAAATAGGATCTAAAAGGCATCAAAGTTTACAAAAAAAAAAAAAAAAAAAAAAAAAAAAGCTTAATATTTATTTGTTTACTTTATTAAACATTTCTTTCAATGTAAATTGTTGAAGTTGCTTCATTTTTTATGTGATAATATATTCTCTTTAATTCCATAAGCAGACATAATTTCTTGTTCAGTTACAAAGTTCCGCTGTTCAAGTCCTATAATTGCTGTGTTGAGAATACTGACTAATTTGTCAATTGAAATTTTTTCGTTTTCAATAACCTCTGTCACTTTCTTCGCTATCGGAAGCGAATTATAATGACGAGAAATTTGATTTAAATCATATCAAAGACGGAGTACATCGAAATGAAATACTACATTAAGTAAGGAATTATAAGCCAAATAAAATAAAAACATCTGCCCTGAAGATAAGGATAGTGCTGACAGATCAACTTCCAATTCATTGTGCGCCACAGTGTTAAAGATAAACAAAGTTTAGATAAACAAACGTTAAAGTTTAGATAAACAAAGGATATGCCTTTATCCATTTTTTGCAGCAATTCCACTTTTTATTTAATGGACTTCGAAACATACTTTCGCTTTGTAGATCCTTTACATATTAGTAAATATATATCGGAAATTCTATTTGAAATAATCGAAAGTTCAAGCTTACTTTTATAAAATTGCTCTAACAGTCTGCAAAAAATAATAAGCCGAATCCAATTCGAAGATTAAGTAACAACGCAACCTGCAACATTAACTGACTTAGATCATTTTAGCTTAGCTTATACCGTCCGTTATACATTAAACGCGCATTCGTAAACGTATTTTGTGCACACGCACACGTATATTTGCAGCCGTAAAGGTCTTATGTGCATGCGTCAAAGCGACGCATGCGCAGAAAGTTTGTAGCTTTGAGGTCCGAATTATAGATCATTCCGGATTATGGGTGTCCGAATTAACAACTTTTGACTGTATATGAAAAAAAAAATAAATGAAAATTTGATCTAAAAAATATATATATAAAATTTAAAAAAAATACAGGAGTTATTTCTTGAACTCTATAACATAAGAGCAACAAAAGTTTTGAAATAAAAAAATAAAAATATATATTTGCCTGTATGCTAGCAAAGCTTAAAATGTGTTAAGTAATGAATTTAGGTAAACTATGGATTTTAAACTGATTAAACCAATTATGATGATTAGAAAAGTCCTCCATTGTAATATAAAATATGTAGTAGTAAAAATTAATAATGTGAAAGGAAAAAACATAAAGTTACATGGATTAAAAATCCTAAAAAGCCACTGATTGTAGTTGAAATGAAGTATTAATTCACTTCAGTTCAAAGAATGGAATAAATTATAGCGCTAAATAACCAAAATAATTGGAATGCATAATGATTTTTTTTTTCCAAAGAAGTAGAAAAATTAGATAATAAATCACAATTGTGAGGGTTGTATATATTAAAATGTGAGCAAAGCTGTGAACGAAATCTTAGAGAATGCAAAGCAGGAATTTAGAAAAAATTGCATCGTATAGGTAATCTAAAAGAGAATAAAAGCAGAAAATTAAAGAAGTTGTCAAATATTACAGAATATAGAACTCGCTCACTTGAGCTTTCTTGAGACTTATTAGCTGAAATAGGCCCAATGTTTTAATAAAAGAGATAGAAAACTATTAGAGAGTTTAATCTAAATTAAAACCAATGTTAGAACTTTGACAAGAATGCCTTATTCAACTGTGTTAAGAAAATGCAAAGTGTGATTTAATGATTAAAATTCATCGCATCTTACTGGCTTAGGTATAACCTGTCTTGAAAAACAGATTATGGTGGTATAGTTTGAGTATTCTTAACATGGTTGATTTAGGTATTCTTGTCAAATTTCTAACATTGGTTTTAATTTAAATGAGAGTGTTGGCGATTAACAAACCAATGCAATCAAAATAAACTTGATTCCTTCTGGAAAATTCTTCCTTATATTGGTATTGTAGTTTTCTCATAAAAGCATCTGTTATGCATATGAGTTCCAGCATCCCTTCCAAAGTCATATAAATTTGTATTTGGCAATGTGAAGTTGCCAGAAAAAAGGGGGCCAGAGTAGATTTCCATACTTGCCTGCCTTTCCATAAAGGAAAATAATTTCTCTCAATATTAGTTTAGATTATGCCTAATTGGAAACAAATATTAACTCTGAATTACAAAATTTAGTGGCATAATAAGATAATGAAATAAAAATAAAATTTATCTTGTGATCTTAACCAGTTGATTTTGTGAGTCCTTAGAAATGCAAGCTGCTTGCATTTCAGTCTGTCAAAGATGAACATATTTCAGAATATAGTCTCTTTGACAGTGCCGGTAATAGCGAGAAGATAAATCTAAAAATAATGCATGTTCAGTGTATGAAATTGCTAAATAAATTGTAATATGTGAATAATAAGGATTTCAACTGATGTAAATTTTAAATATTTGGACATGTGGAGATTAACAAATAATTGTTATCGAACCTTTAAGATAACTGCCATATTTTCATGTGTTAAGATGTTCCGATTTATTAAACAGGTGTCCATTTAATGATGATAAAGATAATAATTGCATATATGTTTTTAAATAAAGGCAAAAATTGGTAGTGATCTGAATTTATGTGCTAATACATAGCTTGAATATGTAAAGTTAAATTTTTACGATTGCTAAAATCGAGTACGATTGACATTAACCCTCTGAGCGGTGCAGGTTTTTAGATCTACCATGAAGATCTGTATTTAAACAGCAATTATTAGCTAATTCGTGAAACTACCTACTTTAGTCTCTATTTTCATAAACTTACATTCATCAAGATTATATCATTAAAGAACGCAAATCAAAATATCTCTAGTTATACACTAATATATACAAAGTCACAAAAAATCTCATGACTGGATAAAGACGGTCATGGCTCTGAGAGGGTTAAGTGTTTATGTAACTAAAACATGTGGATCACTGAATGCATAACTTTCAGTATTTTAGTAATTTAATACTTAAGAACATATGACTTTGAGTAATTTAAGAGCACTTTCATTATTTTAGTAATTTTATACTTATCCCTTTCATGCCAACTGTCATGCATATGTGCCAGCAGGAAATGAAATCATTTCCTAGCATGCCAGAGTATTTTCTCATTCACCCTCGGTGATCAAGCATTTGCAGTGTCCTGGAGTGTTTTAAAAACTGTAACTTTTGCCATATGGCATTCCTTGTCCATAGGATTTGAGATACGTGTAGATTTGACCTTCTACTCAAAATGAGAGTAATGTAGCGGCTGATACATCATAAACATTATTTTTCTGGTTTAAGAATAACTTACGCTACTAAATTTATAAGAAAAAGAAATTATTATTCACTTTTTAAAGACGTTCTTTTTTAAACATCATCGTCCTGCAATTGTTTTCATTTCTACTGTTGCCACTTACAGTCTACATAAAGTTGTACAAAAGAAAAGATTATATATGATTTGTAGAGGTTACACTACTCCCCTTCCAAGCAACATAGTTGCAATACAAGAAGAAAAATTATTGTTCTCACATAAATACTTACATTACAATAAACTACATAAATGCTATTTACAAAATATTACAATCATTATATGAAAAATTAGTATACAACATTAAATATTCACGTAATCTTGATAATGTGCTGGAAAAGTAATTCTTCTCTCCCTACGTGTTGTTTTAAATGTAAATCATCCATCTTTCCATTTTCATCTCTGTTTAATGGAATATTTGGTTCTTCTTTAGTTGTTAGGTTTGGAGAATCGTCCTCACCTGAGGCTAACAAATAAGTTTGTTTTATCGATTTATGGAAACACTGATGTCTTTTCCTTCAATCCTCACTATATATGATATTTGTCATTTCTGGCAATGACAGGAAAAAGACCTTCATTAGGAGGTTGTAATGCCTTTTTAACACAATCCACTTTCACAAATACACGTGAACACAAATTTAAATCCTCATGGAAAAATAACTTCCATTTTCTTTTACATTGAATTTTAATTGGTTTTAATTGTTCCATTTGCTTTCAGAGTTAACTGATGAAAGTACCTGGTTCTAATTTAATTTTTGTTTCTTGAAAGAATTCTCCTGGTAGCTTCAGTGATTTACCATAGACCATTTCTGTGATGGAGCAGTTTGTATCATCATGTAGAGATGTGCATATACCAAGGAGTATAGTAAGGTTTCACTCCATTTGACTGAATTGTGAGCTCTAATGACTGCTTTTAATTTTTCCGTTGCTTTGTGGATGGTATGAAGCTGTTGTTTG